AAGAAGAATATGTTGAGCTTATTAACAAATGACCTATCAGATCATGTTACCAGTTTTTAGCTCTGCCTTATCTGCATCATTAGCAGGGTGTATTTACACCAAACTCTAAGGCTGAATCACCAAAAGTAAGATGCCAGAGCTATAACATTAGGAGAATCACATTCAGCTGTGGACATCAATTAAACAAGCTAGCAACTACCCAACTTGATGAATATGGTTGCTTAAAGAAAAATCACCTCCAGTTTGGAAGGAAATGCTTGAGGAGAAGACAGCGTTTAAGTTAGGTTTTAAAGACTGAGAGAGGAGCACTGGAAGAATGATGCCTGTTTGGGAATAATCTCATTTTGTCAGACCTGGATTCATATGCTTGGCTGGAGTCAGCTAACTTTTCTTAAGATAATTCTGCCTAGCTTTGGAGAAGAACTGCTGCTGGTGAGAGATCAGAGTTTAGTCTCAGCAAATAAACTATGATACAATGGTACTCTTAAACAGAGGTATAACCTGAAGAAAAATTTCCCTCTGGAGGACAGTCATAACTAAGATTTCAAAGCTGTTTTGAGAAAAGCTCTTGAAAATCTGTGAGCAGTGATTTACCATTAAAAACTAGAAAGATTTTCAATGATAAGTTACTCTTATGACCCTTATTCCCCCCACCCCAAAAAAACCCAAAAAACAAAACTGGTGAGACTGGGGCTCAGAAAGTTAAGTGATTTGCCCAAGGTCATCATACAGCTAAAAATCAAAGGAGCTGAAAGTGAACTATAGGCTGTAAGAGCTTTCACTTCTGCTGGAGTGGAAGCAAGGGATTGAGGAAAATGGAGAGAATCAGAAATGAAATGTGCAACAATACCCAGTAGGAATCAACTGGTCACATAAACAGATCTGTGATTATGGCAAAATGAGATGCAATATCCTCAAAAGGAAAGCATAATGCAGACTTATTCCAAAAACCATGATTAAACAGAAGACAATTAAAATACAATGTCTCTTCAAGGGTAAAAGACATTCAATTAATTCAATCATATGATTGCTCCTTTCTCTCCTGATATTTTTCATCAATGTATATAAAAGAAGAAAATTATACTCTAAAAATTAATCTCTAAAAGTATTAGAGAGAGTAATTAAATTTAACTTGGCTTTAATTATTTTTTTTTTATTCTTATGTTAATCCCCATACATTACATCATTAGTTTTAGATGAAGTGTTCCATGATTCATTGTTTGTGCATAACACCCAGTGCTCCATGCAGAATGTGCCCTCCTCAATATCCACCACCAGGCTAACCCATCCTCCCACCCCCCTCCCCTCTAGAACCCTGTTTGTTTTTCAGAGTCCATCGTCTCTCATGGTTTGTCTACCCCTCCGATTTCCCCCACTTCATTCTTCCCCTCCCGCTACTTTCTTCTTCTTCTTTAACTTGGCTTTAATTCTTGTAAGTGCTAAAGAAACTTTAAATCTCCATTTTTTACTCTAAATTCCCAAAAAAAACTTTTTATAAACAAAACTTTTTAAAAAGTCTGCTAAACAGTTACTCCCCAATTTGTGTGAAAAAATAAACCCAGCCTTGTAGTTTTAAGATAATTAATTCTCAAAGCTAGCAAATATATGTTGGAAAAATAGCAAATTGACTTAAATGATAGTCTTTATAGAGTTCTCCTTTCTTTTCCCAATCACCTATAAAAGTTTACAGAGATGAAAATATAAAATTATTTTGTCGGAGAGGGAAGTGGTAAGAGGAAAAGAACTACTTTAGATTTTAGAATTAAACAAACTAAAAAATATTTCTAGCTCAAAACAGTGTCCCACCACTATTCTTTCAGCAGATTCTACAACAGACCCAAGAAATAATTGTGATGCAAGACTCAAAATAATTGAGCAGATGTTTCAGGAACAAGAAGCTAATACTGTCCCCTTCCTATACCTGAAAATGTACAGAATATATAAGTTATCTCAGAAGCCATACAGCCTTCTGGGGATAGTTCACTTTTGTTCATTTCATTCCACACAAATATGTTTAAAATTTTTTAAACATATACAAAGTGTTGTGATGAGATCATCTACTTTACCAATTCAGAGCCCAAGGAGTAGATAGAGATCATTATAGAATTGCAGGGATGAGGCTAGTTGTATTTTTGTCAGTCTCCTTAATGGATTGAAAATTTTCTGAGAGCAAGGACCACCCATGTCTTACTCTTCTTTATACCCCCAGCACTGGTACTTTGTCAGTGTTTGATAAATTGAATGCACAAAGATGCATACAGTGTACTTTCAATAATTATTAATATTCATCTTGAGATCATCTCCCTTTTATACTGATGTAACTGCAAAAAAATTTTAAGAAAATACATCTAGTTAATTATTCTTCTAATCCCAGGTTTTATATGAGTACAACTATGAACTAAATATGTGTAGGAACAGGCATCAGACCTTAAAGAAGCACATAGAAAATTGGTGGTGCAACACTCCAAATTGACTAAATCAGGTTTGTTATTTTATCCAATAAATAGTATAAGCAGATTAACTGGAACCAGACATGTGAAGATTCATAAGGTTTTTTTTTTTTTTGTAACATCAGTTATTAAAAACAAAATTTATAGGTTACATTTCAGCACATCTAACTTAATAGTTTAAGGAAAATATAGATCTTGATAAATAATTTTCTAGAAGTGTATGTAGGCAGAAATGTTATGAGAATGGTTCCCTTTTCTGCAACCAGATTTATCTCACAGTAACAAAGTACTGAATTCCAAGTCTTACATAAATAATGCCAATTACCTATATCACCACAGATATATTTTATATACAAATTAAATACCCCAAAACAAAGATTTGTTTTCCTATAGAAACAACTAGAAAGAGACTATACACCTCTAAGCAGTTACTTTTAATCATAGCCTCTGCAATAAAAGCAGTCTGTCCAGGTAACAACTGAAAGAATGTGCAACCTGTTTTGGGCAGATTTCAATCAAAGGAAACTTCTTTGTCAATTGAAGAATACTGATTTCCCAGAATGAATGTCAGAAGCTTATTAACCCAAATGCCAAGCCATATATTTCTGGGCTTATAACTAAAATATCATGTGAAACTATTTTTAAGGCTTTACACCAGGATATACACTTTGGATATAAACAAAATAGGTAATGTTACATTAATGTTCTAGGTAATGTTCTAAAATGTTACATTTTAGAAAAGATTTTGAAAACATGCAGCCAGATTCACTTTTTCAAGCCAATTCCCGTCTTGTAGTGGTGCCATTATTAGCTATATATGCTTAGCCACCAAATTTGATACTTGAATATTTTTTGAATTGTCACAAATAGCTCTACTTTTAAGGAGTTCAGAAGTGGGTAACATTGCCTGTTAGCTTTTGAAAACACTGTGTAAAACCTGTATGAGTGGCCACAGGATAAAAAGAAAAAAAATACCATTTTAGTTAGGCTCAATGATTAAGTTTATCTGCATGCGTTACACTTAATATATATTTGATACAGTTACATTACAATGTTATTCTACTTTATTATTTAAACCAGTTTATACTCTTGGGAATAGTGTCAAGAACACAAATTCCTAGATTTAATATATGTAGTGAAACATATACAAATACATAAATCATCAAAACTATACATTAACTCTCAATAGCCACTGTGTTCAAATGTGTGTGTGTGTGTGTGTGTGTGTGTGGCAGTTGTTTATTTGGGTGATTATTTGATTTTAATTTAATAGTTTTGTTTCCAAATACTTTTATTTTTAACATCTTTACTATTTTAATATTGTTCTTCCTATCCAACATTTAGCTAAACTGCTGTTGACCTGCATAAATGTGTTTCTGATGTCTGTCAGCAAGTATAAAAGCATAATTTCATTAAAGTGTATTATATATGCTCAGGACTGAGAGAACATTATAAAATGAAGAAGTTTGGCTAAAGTTCAACAGGGCATCAAATAGCACTGGCAAGAATTTTCTTAAACAGATGGTGTAAAATCTTGCTAACACAATAGTGTGTGCTTAACATAGGAACAATATCAGAAACAGATGTGCCGCAAATGACCAAAGTACCAAACAGAAACAATAAACATGGATATATATTAAAAACGATGCCCTTGCCAACTGAAAAAAAAAAAAAAAGAAGAAAAAGAAAAGAGAAAGAAAAACACTGAACAAATGCATTTCCTTGTCAAATAAGAAATGCTACCGATATTTTTCCACACCAAGGTTGGCACACACATATTTTTCGCTTTGGCTTCCCCTTATGCGTTGATATTTTATCTCTGTCAGGGTGGCCAAAATTAAGAACATAATTTTATTAGACACATTTAAAAAACTAATCATGTTGAAAGAAAATAAGAGAAATTTCGCAGATCTGTGGGCTCCGAGCCATCATTTGAAACTGAAAATATTCTCATCAGTCGAGAAATCTCTTTCTCTCTCCCCCTTCCACACACACACACACACACACACACACACACACACCCCTTTTAGAAGCGTGTATACAAGTGCCTGGTCAGTTCAAATTATTTGCCCAAGCGTTACACAACAGTATTAAAAGTACTAAGGGCCAAGCGACCACGACTGGCACAGAAACTAAAGCCAAGTAGAAGAAACTCGAATCCCTGCAGAGGCCCTCCGAGGCTGTAAGCGTTTCCCCGCGGGGCTCAGGTCGGGCCTAGCGCCCCTAGGCCCTGGCTCCCCAGGGCCCGGCCTGCCTGAGTACACGCCGCTCCTGGAGGACGACTCGTCCACCAGGCGACCCGGAATCCGCAGCAGGTCTCAGACCCGCGTGTCTCCCGCGCCAGCTTCACTCCCCCGACTGGGCACCCTCAGCCTGTCCACCTGACTGAACAGCTCAGACACACCTTGTTCTGGCCTAGTCAGGCCTTGCCCCATTACTTCCCTTGTTGTTGGCTTGGGTTTTGGTTTTACCTTTTCATTGATCAGCTTTCTGTGGGCTACTGGGATGAACACTCCGGGGCTTCTCAAGAGTCGAGCGAGAGCTACCTACCTATTCACGGGCAGATGCGGCTGAGGGGAAGGAGGGCTTGGGCCTTGGGTCCCCTCCAGACGCTGACTTTCTCAGGAAAGAAAAGTCCTAACATCCTCTGGAAGCTAGATGAGACGAATGTTTCGCTTTTGAAACCTAAGCCTCCGCCCCCGGGTCGCCCACGGAGAAGGGCGCGAGGAGGCCAGTGGGCAAACCCACCAGGACGAGGAGCCTGCCTCAGAGCCCGGCCTGGGGTAGACATTCTGGCGCTCGGAGCCGCGGCCACCCTCCTCCCCGAGTTCGGGTTAGTGAGGTGGCGGGTCACGCAGGGTCCCCGCCCGCCTTTCCGACCAGAGCACGTTTCTGGGCGTTTGCCCTTCGCAGCGCGCGGCGCGCACACGCCTCGGCGCCTCCCGGAGTGCACCGCGCGGCGGGGACGTTCCCGGCTTGTCCCCGGCTGCAGCCTGGCTGGCACTGCGACCCAGAGGGCTGAAGGGCAGAGTCCTGAACGCCGTCAGGACCTGCGTGGGGAGGTCGCCTCCGAAGCCCGCCGCCGGCGGGGAAGGGCCTCACACCCACAGGAGACAGCCTGCAGGCCTCCGCCTCGGGCTGGGGGTTACCAAGGAAATACAACAATATTTAGGACCAGCAGGCGATGAGAACGTGTTTCCCCAGCACGCGATCTACCCCCATCCTCCTTCAACTTCTCAGCCCTCTAGTCCGTTTTCCCCGCGGGCTCCACACGTGCGTCCGAGCCTTACATAACTGACCACGAGCGGAGGTCAGGTCCCTCCAGCCGCGCCCCCCCCACCCCCCCACTCCCGCTCCTAAGAGAATTCCAGCTTCCAGGACTCCAGGAGAAAGGGAGGAGCCACACATCCAACCAGCCAGGAGAGGGGGCTTCACTTTATACTCTGCATGGTTCACACAATATCCTTTGTATAAAACTCAGTGGTTAAGACCTTGGAATAGGTTTACATCCGTACCGTCCTTAATTTGCCCAACAACCTGGCCCTCTGTATGAGCTTTAGGTTCCCCATCTGTGAACTGGGCATAGGAATATATACCTCATAGATAATTGTGAGGAATATACGTTACAACATATTTGAAATCTGGGCGATGTGAAACAATAAATGGTATTTCTTATTATAAAAGGGTAGTACTTGCATGCACATATTCATCTCTAAAAATGCAAAGTCTTTTTAGGAAAAAAGCTGCAAGGGGAGCAGTGTAAATAATCAGATATTATGACTTTGTTTACTAACTGCTTCTTTCCCCCACCCCGACCTTTAAAAGATTTACGTGGGCTGATGCAGATATTTTTTTAATACTGGAGGTTTTTCCTACAATATCTGTAAAATTAATTATTGAGCCAGGGCAGAAGTATTCTGAAAGGAGGAGGAGGAGGAAACCTTGAAAAGAGACCATGTGTATTAAAAGCCTCCAAGAAACTGCTGCCCATTGTGTCCAGTGACTTTGAAACTCAATAATAAAGGCAAACTATAAAGCGCTGAGGCAGATAAAGGCATTATTCCTGAAAGATGGTGCAACATGAAGGCAGCCTTTTAAAAAATGCCCCTCTGAGTCCCTCCAGAGGAAGGGGTGGCACTCAAAGGAAATTGTCGGGATTACACTCTTTTGAAATGATTTTTGACACATTGGTATGCCTATGTCGCAGCTGTGACTCAGTTTGCAAACTGTTGTGGTATGTCTGGCAAGAGACTCAAGTGTTCCCTTTCTCGCTGTCTCTCTCTCTCTCTCTGTATCAAATAAATAAATCTTTAAAAAAAAAGTCTTCAAGATAAAGTCCTAGCGTTTTCCTCCCTTAGTGTCCAGGTAAATTCAAGACCAAGGGGGCTGGTGCAACCATCTCAGGTCGAGAGACCTCTTCCAGCCCTTTTCCAGGACTCTGGGCTAGTTTCTGAGTCCTGGGGCTACTGTTCCTGCTCAGGACCTGTTCCTGCTTGAAACAGGCTGGGTCTGGGGAGAGACTAGGCCAAGCCACCCAGGCACCCAAGACACATGGTTATGATCGCACAGAGACTGGATCAGTCCTGTTTAAGACTCCATCTACAGCCCACATGTCTTCTCCATGTTCTTCTGCCTTGTTGCTGACTGAAAACAGGTATGCATCTCCTTTCCAGGCCAGGGAAGTCTGAGAGAACCAGTATCTGGCTCCGCATGACCTCAGCTCCCATCCTGACTGTCCACCCAGGCCCCCTTCTGATTCTGGGGCAAGCCCAAACTTATGCTGACTTATGTCGGGACAACACGCACAGCATTCCCATGTGTGCAATCAAAATGGGGCCATGGAAGCTTACCCGGCCACTTTCACAATATTCAGAACTTTGCACAAACTGACAGGAGTCAGGGTGTCATGGAGACTTCTGAGGTTCAACACGTTCCTACTCTGACTCCCAATAGCCTCCTCTATAACTGAGGTTCAGACCTGGATGGTCTCTTAGGCACCCAGAGTAGGTTTCCAATTTAATTGAAACATTAAGGTCTGAAGGACCCTCATGAAGGGTCAAAATGAACCATTGTGCCAGAAGATCCAATGGAGGCTGCAAGTCCCTCGCCCTAAAAGAAAAGCGAAGACCAGGAATTCCTTTAATTTAAATTGGCAGGATCTCCATGCCCTTCCTTGCCTCACTCTTCTATGTGACTAAAAAATTTGAGTTCTGGACAAGAAAGTGCCAATGTGAAGAAGTAGCAAGCTCGAACCAAAAATACACAGAAAGGCTTGAAACCCTCTGTACCTGCCAGCACATACTGTCTTTCATTCAAAAAGCCATCCTTTATTGCCCAGTGCCAGGCACTGAGCTAGGTTCCAGAGTCAGGAACAGCACAAGGTTCCTGCCTCCAGGGTCCTCGCAGCCTGCGGGAAGATCTGGTGGGGTCAACTTTATTCACCCATTTGTGTCTGGGAAAACTATTTCCGAAGACTTCTCTGAAGTGGCAAGAGAGGGTGTGAGAGGGTGCTGCGAGATGACCTGTGAACAGCCAGGGCTGGGCACCACGGCCTCTGCCAGACTCCATGCAGTGACCCGAACTTTGGTCCAAGCCAAAGGAAAGTTCCAGAAGTGAGCGTGGGCCTTTGCAGCACAGGAGATACAGAGAGCGGTGTTCACTTGTTTAATCCAGGCTTTGATCCACTCGCTGATGATTAGTCATTGGATTCTGTAATTTGCAAGAAGAGAGAGATTTTACCGCCAAGTTAAAGGCTCCGTTGGCTCCCTTTCCCCCTTTGTGGCTGGTTTGAGGCTCCAAATCCTTCTATGCTATGTAACCTCATTGAGGTAGGAAGGGGGCGCTCTTTCCCACGGGATACCAGATGCTTTGCATCTGGGGAAAGCCTGAAGCTCCGCTGGATGCCGGTGCCAGCAAGAGGCCTGTAGCTGGACTACCTGTGCTGGAGCTGCAACCCAGATCAACTGAACTATATAAAGACCCATCTTGAGATGGGTAAATGAATCCATTAATTGAAGGTGTCTGTTTTTTAACTGACCGCAAATAGGGCAACACTGGGGAATGGTTAAAAGGCGGCCTTGAGTCTGGCCTCTGGGCTTGCATTCCAACCCACTTTGGTGATATGGCCTCAGGCAAGTTACTGAAGTAGGGTTTTACACCTCAGCGCCGGTGGGGCATTTGACAGGTAATAAGCAACAACTATGATTACTGCCACTTTCACAATATTCAGAAGTTTGCACAAACTGACAGGAGTCAGGGTGCCAAGCATTTAAATGTGCCAGATTAACCCGCAATTGTTAAACAAGTGACAAAAGAGGAGGAAGATTTTTCACTGTGCCTCCATGGGACAAATTGCCATAATAGAGTGGCTCCCAGTTGCCAGCTCTTCTCCAGAGTCTCTGCAGCTCTGGGAGGCTTATCTGGCATTGGCAACCGGATCTGTTGAACGCCCAGAAATAGCCGACTGGAAGCCAGGTCGGTGCTGAGGAAGAGCACTGGCCTGTCCCCTTCACCTGGGGAATGAGAGCTTTGTTGACACCTCTGCATCTAGACCTCTCAGCGCAGCACAGAAGGGCGCAGGCAGAGCCTACGATTGAGAATCTACTGCGCATCGGTGAACACATTTCAACATCATCAGTGCTGTCATCTCCATTTTCTGGATGAGAAAACCGAGGTGTTAAGTTGTTAAATTGCTCTGAAATCCATTACAGGTTTGACTAATTTCAAAATCTCATACTCGTACTCTAATAACAAGTTGCCTAGCTTCTTAAACCTTGAGTTCCCATGAAGGCAGACAGGCAGTCAGGCTTGTAGGTAAGAAGGAAAGGAGGGAGGGAGAGGGGAAGGAGAGGAAGGAAAGGAGGAAAATATTGCCAAAGTTACAAGAACCAGTCTCCTGAAGCAGAAACCATATAAAAAGTTTAACTTTTTAAAAAATATCATGTTTCAAGATTATTCCGAAGATTTCCCCCCCTCCTTTTTTTTTAAAGCATCATTTTACAGGATACATCGATGGGTAAAGAAACGACGGGATGTGTTAGTGTTGCCGGGAAGATGTTGTTGCCGAGATTGTGGGCTGGAAGACCCGAGTTTGCATGGGACACACTCACACCGGCTAAAAACGAGGGCTGTGTGTTCCCTTATCAAAACCGGATTGAAGCCTGAGAATAGGAGGCTCACACAACTCCCCACCACCACCACCCCTCCCCACTCCACCCGACAAACACTCTCAGGCGCCCATGTTTCTACACTCAGATCAACTTTGCCTTTTTTGCCTCCCTGTCCGGGTTTTAGTGCGCCTCTCGGGGATCCCTGGGGAAGAGGAGGTGGAGGAGGGGAAGTCTGTGGGGCTAGGGTTCCCGTCCTCCTTCTAGATTAGTGAGCTCCATTCTAGATCCACCCTGTGAGCCTAGTAGGATGTGTAGGAAAACCCAGGGCGGGGGAATTAGGGGTTAGAGAACTGTTGGGTTTTGAGTTGTTCTCCCCCCCCCCACCTCCTAGTTCGATTTTTACAGAGTTGTGTGGGCCGAGGTCTGTAGAAACAGGTTAGAATCAGGTTTCCCCTGGTCCTGCCGCTTTGCTTATTCTGAACGATAAAATGCATATAAAATTAGCAGCTGTAAACCACAAGTGTGCTTAAGGCGAAGATTGTGGGCTTGGAATGTCACAATGGGTAAATAATGTAGTGGACTTTCGCGCTTTGCGCAGTAGCATTTAGTCTGGAGCGTCCGCAGACTGCGTCTTGACTAATTTCGGGCTCCCTAGGGCTCCTAATTCTATCACTCGTATTACCCGTCCTATCAGGCGAGAAACGCTGTCCCTCTCTCCTTCCGCAGAGGACTGGGCAAGTTTACTCGCGTTCTTGGGGGACAAGCGCACCCGCTGAAAA